CACCCCCTGCCCTTCCAGGGGTGACTCTGAGTGTTTGAACCCCCACCCCCACCCCCCCCAGTGTGGGTTTCTCTGGCTCACGGGAAGGGGCCAGCCTGGCAGCCAGGCACAGGCAGGGCGCCGTCCTGGGTGGCACCAAGACTGGGAATAATCAGATCCGAAGACTTTAGGGTGCGATGAAGAATCCTGGGAATCATTGATCGGCTGACTCCTACAGGCCCCACACTGGGGATGGAGCCCACCACCCCGGCCTGCTGTGCCCTGGGGAATCAAACCGTGACCTCCTGGTTCATAGGTCGACGCTCATCCACTGAGCCACACCGGCCGGGCCATTTTATTCTTTATTTTTTACTGTTGATAGTATTATAGATATCTCCCATTTTCCCTCCATCCTCCCCTCCTCCCAGCCACTACCCACCCCCCAGGTCTTCACCAATTGCCCGTGTCCATGGGCTGTGTGTATAAGCAGTTAAGTTTCTTGGTTCCTCTCTCCTCGTCCCCCCCCCACCCCCCCCATGGAGGCATGTCAGTCTATTCCATGTCTTCCTGCTTGGGGGTCTGCTTTTGTTGGTCAGTTCGTTTTGTTCATCAGATGCCACAAATAAGTGAGATCAGGTGATACTTGTCTTTCTTGCTTTGGCTTCTGTCACTTAGCAGACTATTTCCCAGGCCCTCCATGCTGTCCCAACGGGTAAGAAATCCCTCTTTTTTTTTTTTTTTACAGCTGCGTAGCGTTCCGTGGTGTAAATGTCCCACAGCTTTGTTAGCCACTCCCCTGCTGATGGGCACTCGGGCTGTTTCCAAGTGTTAGCTATTGATTCATAACCGGGGAGTTTATATAAAATTCAGATCGGGCCCCGCTACCCAGAAATCATGACAGGTGGGCAGGTCTGGGGTCAGGCCAGGGAGCCTGCATGCTCACACTTACCTAAGGGGCCGGGCCCAGACCTCACTTTGAGAGCCAGACCGAGAAGCTGTAGGACTTGGTGTGCCCGCCGGCCAGGCCTGTCGGAGGGAGAGTGGAACTCGGCCACGCCAGCCTGAGTGGACTCAGCGGTGACTTCAGGCCTTGGGGCCTCCGTTTCCCTGGAGGGCAGGGAGGAACACGTTAGCATCCACCTCCTAGGATGCCTGTGTGAGAGAAGTTCATGGATCGAGTCTGGATCGTGCCTGGCACCACGCAAGCATCAGACGGACGGATGGAGGGAATCTGGCCAAAGAATTGTACAGCCCGGCTGGTGTGGCTCAGTGGTTGAGCATCGACCTGTAAACCAGGAGGTCAGGGTTCGATTCCTGGACAGGGCACAGGCCCGGGTTGCGGGCTCGATCCCCAGTAGGGGGCGTGCAGGAGGCAGCTGATCCATGATATTCTCTCTCATCATTGATGTTTCTCTCTCTCCCTCTCCCTTCCTCTCTGAAATTAATATATATTTTTTTTAAAAAAGAATTGTGCAAATCAGTGTGGGGGACTGTCGAGAGCTCTCACAGCCCAGCAGCAGAGAGTGGGGCTGTTTCAGAGAAAGAATGAGCCGCAGCAGCCCCGGGAACACACCATCAGGGTCCCATCTTTCTGTAGATCTTTGATCGGCCTTGAAGAGATTTCCTGTTTTGAAAGAACGAGATTGTTGCTTGGCAACCTGATACTGCAGTGATTATACTATGGGGTTTCTCCTAGAATTTGAGTTTTGCAAAACCTTAGTTAGAATGGTGACGAGTTGACAAACGAGGTGGCTGCGAAAACCGTACACTCGATCTTTCTTCTGCCCTCATGCGTGGGGAATCGTATTTATTAGGCACATCGTTTCTTATCTCCAAAGACATACATCATCTCATATGTAATGAACCAGGTTCAGAAGTTTAAACACTTACTCCAACATTTGCATCCAATAAATAGAACAATTTAATGTCTGCTGGGTTTTCTAAAAATATTTTTTTATTGATTTCAGAGAGGAGTGGGAGAGAGAGAGAGAGAAACATCAATGATGAGAATCATGGATCGGCTGCCTCCTGCAAACCCCACACTGGGGATCAAGCCTGCAAACCAGGCATGTGCCCTGACCGGGAATCAAACCGTGACCATCTGGTTCGCAGGTCGACGCTCAACCACTGAGCCACACTGGCCGGGTTGACTCCACATTTTCAGGGAAAAATGTCTTTGAGTCTCAGGTCTTTCCCCGCACTGTGCTTTCTCCTACTAAACTGTGTCTTTTTTTTCCTAGTTGAAGAGTGTGATCCAGTCCCTTCGAACGGCCCAACAAATTCCGATGTGCACCATCAGGTAAGGAGAATTCCAGTTATACTTTTTACTCTCTGGTATGGATAACTAGAATTTTTAAGGAATTCCCTTCTAGCGCTTGAAAAATAAAGAAGCACGCCTGCCTTCCTGGTTCATAGGTCGATGCTCAATCACTGAGCCACGGTAGATGGGCTGTGTATTTATCTTAGAGACAAGAAAAGGAAGAGAGAGAGAGAGAAAGAGAGAGAGAGAGAGAGAAACATTGATGTGAAAGAGAAACATCCATCGGTTGTCTCCTGCATATGCCCTGACCAGGGATCGAACCCAAAACCTAGGCATGTGCCCTGACTGGGAATCAACCTGCCACCTTTTCCGTGTCCACGCGCCGGCCACATGTGAAGTTCCGTGTAGTGTGACTCACAGAACATCCGTCTGCAGTAAGTCACTCATGGTGCTGTTCTTGGCTAGCCAAGCCGCCTTCGGGATAGAGCAGGCGGTTCGAGCCATCACCCAGCCCTCTTGACCGTTGTTGGTGATGCCGCTTTCGCTCTGATCTGTGGGTCTTCCGTCACCCACTGGGAGTCTCTCATTATGTGTCCATTTGCCACTCAGCATTTCCCGGGGAGTGACGGTCCCCTGATGGACGCTGACCCTGACTGGCTGTGAATTATTTTAGGGAACCTACTACTGTATCCATTCTCCCTTTCTTACAACTCTTCCTTTGTTGAGCAACGTTGCTTTGTGACACAGGTTAGATTCCCTTCAAGATACAAGAATGACCCTAACCGTTTTGGCTCAGTGGGTAGAGCTTCGGCTTGGGGACTGAAGGGTCCCAGGTTCGATTCCGGTCAAGGGCATGTACCTTGGTTGCGGGCACATTCCCAGTGGGGGGTGTGCAGGAGGCAGCTGATCGATGTTTCGCTCTCATCTGATGTTTCCAACTCTCTATCCTTCTACCTTCCTCTCTGTAAAAAATCAATAAAATATATTAAAAAAAAACATTCCAAAGATACAAGAATGCCACAGTGTTTACTTGCCTTCGAGGGATTTCCCCAAAACCATGTAAGATTAGGCACAGAATAGACCTTAGCATGTTGCTCAGTGTTTGTTTTTCCCCCTCTCTAGTATTTGTGTTATAATTCTCTCTGTGTGCAGTCAAGGCTATCCTGAAAGATGAAGATATATGTATCCACTAAAATGAAAGGGGGGGGGACCTGTGTGAGTTTGTTTGGGGTTTTTTTTGTCAGCCCTGTTTTAAAATGGAACGTCTTCTATTCCTGCAAAGAGGAGGCCTGTGCCCGCTCCTTCGGGTGGGTTATTGCTGTGCCTCTCAGCTCAGGATTTGTTCCAACGGCCGGATAGCCAGCGAGATGCTTTGAAACCTACTTGGCAGCCAGAAGAAAGGGAGCTCACGAGGCGAGAAACGTTTAAAACAAATTTTAAACGAAACAAAAAAAAAAACCCCACCCTGTGGCTCGGAAAGTAAAAGCACGCTGAAAACACGCTCTTTAGAACATTGGAATTCGCTCTTTTCCTGATTGCGGTAACTTAGAGAGTAAAAACCTCCTCCCCGAAGACTGGCTTGCGGCTGCCTTGTTGGAGTGACGCCAAGGGAGAACATTTTGGGGCCAAACATGGAAGTCTGACGTGTCAGGCAAGATGTCATAAAGAGCCCTTTACTTTTAGTTATTTAAAGTCAGTACCCAGCCACCAGGGCTGGCCACCTCCCCTGGTTTATTTCCAGCTGGTATGTGCTGGGCGTGGGTGCCCTTAGACATTAAAAGAGCCAGAGGGGTTGCCAGGCCGGCGTGGCTCAGTGGTTGAGCGTCGACCTAGGAACCAGGAGGTCACGGTTCGAATCCCGGTCAGGGCACATGCCCGGGTTGCAGGCTCCATCCCCAGTAGGGGGCGTGCAGGAGGCAGCCGATCCGTGATTCTCTCTCATCATGGATGTCTCTCTCTCTCTCTCTCTCTCTCTCTCCTTCTCCATCTCCCTTCCTCTCTGAAATCAATAAACATATATTTAAAAAAAATAGAAAAAAATAGGGACAGTAATTCATTTAACATACATGTTGAGTGTCCTTTGTGGGCCGAACAGTTCAGGGCACGGAGGCCCCAGCCAGGGAGCAATTAGACAAAAGGCCCCACCGATAGTCCGTGAGTTCACCTTGCGGAGTGAGACAGGGTTCCCGGCCCTCCCAAAAAAATAGCATTCGGAATAACCATCCCACCCGCCCCCGGACTCTGAAATGTCACCAGATTGGAAATGTGATGGTATCTCCGTTCCTACCTGGGTGTGACGGTGGTGTTTTGGTTTCCAGGGAGAAGAGAATGGCTTTGCAGACGGTCCCGGAGACCCCCTCACAGGTAAAGGTGTTGAGGGCTAACCCCCCACACACTAACATGTGAAATGTCAGCTGATGTGAACGCACATCGAGTAAGTGGTGTAGGACCACCCTTCACCCTGCACGGACTCTTGTGAGCTAAGGTCCCTGTTAATGGATAGATTGACTTCAACCACGTTGCAGGCTGTCAGTTATAAAAAAAATGTGGCCTGAGTCCAAGCGAAGCGGAAGCCCTTCAGTGAGGTTGACTCTTCAGGGGACAGCAGGTGACGTCACCGAGAGCAGGCACCGGCGCCCTCATCTGCCAGGCTGCCCGCTGCTGTCTCCTTAAAAGGGTGTTTGAGAGAGAAAGTGAAGTCAGCCAGTCTTTCCTGTTGGTGGAGTTCAAACGCCCACCCAAAGCCCTTGGGTCAGTTTCCGAGTCAGTGAAAAATAATTCTTCATTTTCCAGCTCCTAGCATTTAGTGACCTCTGACGAATACTGTGTGGGTGTGGGTGTGTGTGGGGGTGTGTGTGTGTGTGTGCGCACCCCAATGACTTATCAAAGCCATCACCTGGCCTTTTACGTCCATTTCCAACCACATTGGCAACCACTCAGAAAGAAAGAGGTGAATTTACACCCCGAATCCGCATTGCTGCAGGCGTGTTCGACCCTCCTTTGGGGCACGCTGAGATGGTGCAGGCTCCGGATCTGATCATTCGTAGACACCTGGCATAGAGTTCATGTCAGGCCCCCAAGATTTTGCTGTTTGCAAAGGTGCCGCTCTGAAATGCTTACTGGTTAATTGTCTGAACAAACTTGAGGCCTCATGACCCTGGGGGACGTTCTTGGTAAGGATCTGAGAGCTCCCAGGGGTAACCAAGCCCGTGGGAGTAGCGCTCGAAAAACGCAGCGTGCAAGATCGGACGGCACCTCCCCTGCAGGGAGCCCCATTAAGTCTCCCTCTGATCCCCTGCCAGCACCCCCCCCGGGAGCCGTTCTCTGGGCTCCGCTAATCACAACCTTTGTGAATTCTGAATCCCGTCCCAGCTCACAGTGAACCGTTCACTGACCGGCCGTGGATGACCTGCCAGGCCCAACCTTCACAGTGAGACACCCACCCCTGGACGGGACCCGTTTCTTATGGTGGTTTTAATGACTGACACACACCTTGTCGAAGAGCCTGCTTGATGCCTGAACTCTTCTCTAATTTTTTTTAAAAATACATTTTTCTTGATTTCAGAGAGGAAGGGAGAGAAAGAGAGAGAGAGACACATCAATGATGCGAGAGAATCATGGACCGGCTGCCTCCTGCACGCCCCACACTGGGGACCGAGCCTGCAACCCGGGCACGTGGCCTGACTGGGAATCGAACTGTGACCTCCTGGTTTATAGATTGACACTCAGCTGCTGAGCCACGCTGGCTGGGCTAATTTCTTTCTGGTTCATAGGTCGACACTCAACCTCTGAGCCCCACCGGACAGGCCCAGGCCCTTCCTTTCCATCTGAACTGTCCGTAGCGACCTGTGTACACTCACATAGGACGGGCTCTTGATGGCCACGGACAGGCTGCTGTGCCGGAAGCAGTAAGATCTGGTCCACAAAGCCCGTTCCCCTTTCTTGCAGAATGAGAGCTCCGGGGGG